GTGGCACTTGGGATGTGGTTTAGTGTTGGCCTGGGCAGTGCTGTTGGACTTGGTGATCTTAGAAGGCTTTTCCAACCTAAATGATTCTGTGATTTCCCTTTTTAACAGCTCTCTGCTTCAGAATGAATTACTGCAGGGTTTGTATTGATTTACAATTATTAGACAGTTATTGTAATTTATGTTGATAAAGCAGTAAGGGAGCACTGAAAATATTTATTAAATATGAGAAACTTTGTGGCATTTAGACATTAATCAAAGTTGATCATCTGCAATATATGTGCTAATAAACCATTAGTGAATATTTAACCTGCAAACATGATGAAAAAAACTGATAGATTACCTCCTTCAGGAACAGAGGGACTTTGTGGGAGGGAATTTTGAATTATTTAAATTGTGACACAGCACAGGATTTAGGAGTGGGGAGCAATTTTACTGTGAGATTTTCTTTTTTATTGCTGAGTTCCTGATAAAAAGAGTGATGGAACTAATTTTGTTTCTTGTTGATTTAAACATTAGCAATCCTGGGTTCGCAAAAACATTAAAGATAGTTTTAAGGATGAGTCAGATATTCTATTGTATAATGGAATTATGGGCCTTCTTTGAAAATCAAATAATAAAATAATATGAAATAAAATAATATGCATAAAAAAAAAGAAAAGCCCCAAGTAACTCAAGCTTCTCAGCACTTTGTTGCAGAAGTCAGAGAAAGAAGCATTAGGGGTCAGTTTAGCATTTGCCTAGGAGACCTGATTAATTGGAGATTAAATGATTGTTTGTTCAGCAAATGGTGCAGAAGACTGGGCATGCTTCCCTGACCAGCTGAGCCAGGCTTTGCTAGGCACGTCCCCAGGCTAGGGGACACTTCTCCTGCTCGCCCTGTCCTTGGAAAGGTGCAGGGATGCTGGAAGGGACACTGCCTGGAAAGGAGTTAATCCATTAACGCCTCCTGGCTGATTAATTTTCTGCTTCGACTCATTTAAATTCTCATTCTGCTGATTGTTTCCTTTCAGGGAAGGCATTTGTGGAAAGGTTATCAGTTCTTGGAAGGACATAGCAAAGCCTCCAAGCACAAACCTAGCTCACTTTTCCAAATAAACAGCTGCAGACAAATCCTGGCTTCATTGATGGGAATGGAATTTTTCAGAGAATTGCAGAATGGTTGGGGTTGGAAGGAACCTCTAAGATCATTCAGTCCAACCACTTCACTCAAACAGGTTTTGAATATGTCCAAAGAGAAGGACTCCACAACCTCTCCAGGCAGTCAGCTCCAGTGCTGTCACTCTCACAGGACAAATGATTTTTTCTCATATTTAGATGGAACTTCCCATGCTTCAACTTGTGCCCACTGCCCATGATCCTGTTGCTGAGCACCATAGAAAAGAGTCTGGCCCCTTCCTCTTGACACCCACCATAAAGACATTTGTCTGCATGGATAAATCCCCTCTCAGTTGTCTCTTCTTGTGGCTGAACAGCCCCAGCTCCCTCAGCCTTCCACTGTAAGGGAGATGCTCCAGTCCCCTCTTCATTCATTGTTGTGGCCTCCACTGGACCATCTCCAGGAGCTCCACATCCCTGTCCTGAGGAGGCCAGAATTGCACACAGCACTTCAGATGTGGAATCTGGAATGAGCAGAGGGGCAGGATCATCTCCCTTAACCTCCTGGAAATTCTCTAAGAAATCCCAGGATCCTGTTGGCCTTACTGGCACTGCTTGTCA